ATGGCCGCATGTGTATACAAAACAAGCACCTAGGAATGCAGACTGCTTCTACAAACATTTGTGAAAGAATGGGTCGCTCTCAGGAGCTCAGTGAATTCAAGCGTGGTACTGCGATAGGTGGCCACCTGTGCAATAAGTCCATCCGTGACATTTCCTGGCTACTAAATATTCCACGGTCAACTGTTAGTGGGATTATAACAAAGTGGAAGCAACTGGGAACAACAGCAACTCAGCCACGACGTGGTAGGCCACATAAAATGACAAAGCGGGGTCAGCGATTGCTGAAGCGCACAGTGCGCAGAAGTCACCAATTGTCTGCAGAGCCAATAGCTAAAGACCTCCAAACTTCTTCTCGCCTTCAGATTAGCACAACAACAGTGCATAGAGAGCTTCATGGAATTGGTTTCCATATCCGAGCAGCTGCATCCAAACCTTACAATGCAAAGCATCAGATGCATTGGTGTAAAGCACGCCACCACTGGACTCTAGAGCAGTGGAGACGTGTTCTCTGGAGTGATGAATCACACTTCTTTAGCAATCCGATGGACATGTGTGAGTTTGGCAGTTGCCAGGAGAATGGTACTTGCCTGACTGCTTTGTGCCAAGTGTAAAGTTTGGTGGAGGAGGGATTATGGTGTGGGGTAGTTGTTCAGGGGTGGGCTTGGCCCTCTAGTCCCAAAGAAGGTAACTCTTAAGGCGTCAGCATACCAAGACATTTTGGACAATTTCATGCTCCCAACTTTGTGGGAAACGTTTGGGGATGACCACTTCCTGTTCCAACATGACTGCACAGCAGTGCACAAAGCAAGGTCCATAAAGAAATGGATGAGCAAGTTTGGGGTGGAAGAACTTGACTGACCTGCACAGAGTTCTGACCTCAACCCAACAGAACACCTTGGGGATGAATTAGAGCGGAGACTGCGAGCCGGGCATTCTCGTCCAACATCAGTGCCTGACCTCACAAATGTGCTTCTGGAAGAATGGTCAAACCTTCCCATAGACACCCTCCTAAACCTTGTGGACGGCCTTCCCAGAAGAGTTGAAGCTGTTATAGCTGCAAAGGGCGGGGCCAACTCAATATTGAACTCTACGGACTAAGACTGGGATGCCATTAAAGTTCATGTGCGTGTAAAGGCAGGCGCCCCCAATATTTTGGCAATATAGCGTATATGCAAAGCATTGTGTACATTGACAGCACTATATAAGTACCTGTAATAAATAAATAAATAACTTCAGCTTGTTCAATTAGGCTTTGATGATAAAACCTGGAAGCTGATTGGTTTCTCTGCAGATTTTGCACGCTCCAGTGTTAGTAAATCTCCCCTATTGCTTTGAGCTGCTGCTGTGTGCACAGCTTCATAATCTGTTTAACATAGTTCTATACTATATGCATTACTCTTTGCCTTTCCAAGCCTGACTGTATTGTTAATCCTACTCTGCAGCTACTAAGTAAATTTCAAGTTGCTGTTATCCTCTGTCTTATCTTTTGGTCCATTATGCATCCTTTTACAGCTGTATACATGTAAAACACGTAATTGTGCATAACTTTATATTTCCAACCATTCAAACCTGATTACTCTAGGAATGCTACATCGAGTGAGTGATAATGAAGTGTCTGATTTCAATTAGGAATAACACAGAGAATTGTTTAGGTAATCACGAAAATATCGGAAAGTTTGTGCACACGCTGGAATCGCACCAATAGAAGGAGGATTCTGCATTGTGTTTGATCAGCTCTGTAAATGAATAAAACCGCTCACATGGCAATTAATAAAAAGTATCTGTGTGATGTGTTAAGCTGCCAGTAGGCAGGCAGATGTTTTACTGAGAATGATGGGCTGCTGAGACATCTGTCTGTCCTGTTTGCAACTCGGCTGATAAGCGCTGAATTGATAGGTAAACACTTATTGCTCTTTGTTCACTGAGAAAAGGTAGGGATTAGCCTCATCCCATGGCAATTGTCCAGCATGGTTGGGTTTTGTATCCTATCATTACAAGATGACTAGTAGAATCCGATAGGCAACATTGCCACTATACATTATTTATTCAATATATAGAATGCATGATGTTATTGATGTCATCACTTTAATAACGACATGCCTCTGATATAATTAAATATTCCTGTATCAATCTTCTTAGAACACTGAATAAATGATCATACCTCATATACTATTGGTCTCCAAAACTGCTGCCTGGGGGCCAGATTCGGCCCCTTGCTTACTCTTATCTGGCCCTTGGGGTATTATTCCACCCACTGTCATTAACAGTGGATTATAGTTCCTGCCACTGATACCAACAATGGGGCACTATTCCTCCCACTGACACCAGTGATGGGGCACTATTCCTCCCACTGACACCAGTGATGGGGCACTATTCCTCCCACTGACACCAGTGATGGGGCACTATTCCTCCCACTGACACCAGTGATGGGGCACTATTCCTCCCACTGACACCAGTGATGGGGCACTATTCCTCCCACTGACACCAGTGATGGGGCACTATTCCTCCCACTGATACCAATGATGGGGCACTATTCCTCCCACTGACACCAGTGATGGGGCACTATTCCTCTCACTGACTGCAACGATTAGGCATTATTTCTCCCACTGAAACTAATGATGGGGCACTATTCCTCCCACTGAAATCAATGATAGGGCACTATTCCTCCTACTGACACCAATGAGGCACTATTTCTCCCACTGAAACTAATGATGGGGCACTATTCCTCCCACTGAAATCAATGATAGGGCACTATTCCTCCTACTGACACCAATGAGGCACTATTTCTCCCACTGAAACTAATGATGGGGCACTATTCCTCCCACTGACACCAAAGATGAAGCACTATTCCTCCCACTGACACCAAAGATGAAGCACTATTCCTTCCACTGACACCAACAATGAGTTACTTTTACTCCCCCTAATACCAAAGATGGAGCATAGTTTACTCCCAGTGACACTAGCATAATTTCTACCCCAAGTAAAACAATTGACTTTAACTATGGCCAACATCAATCTACACTATTTTGCCAAACGTATTGGGACAGCCCTCCAAATCATTGGATTCAGGTGTTCCAATCACTTCCATGGTCACAGGTATATACAGTCAAGCACCTAGGCATGCAGACTGCTTCTACAAACATTTGTGAAAGAATGGGTCGCTCTCAGGAGCTCAGTGACTCCAAGCGTGGTACCGTGATATGTTGCCACCTGTGCAATAAGTCCATCCGTGATATTTCCTGGCTACTAAATATTCTACGGTCAACTGTTAGTGGTATTATAACAATGTGGAAGCACCTGAGAGCAACAGCAACTCAGCCACCAAGTGGTAGGCCACATAAAATGACAGAGCGGGTCAGCGCATGCTGAAGCGCACAGTGCACAGAAGTCGCCAACTGTCTGCAGAGTCAATATCTAAAAATCTCCAAACTTGGTGTGGCCTTCAGATTAGCATAACAACAGTGCGTAGAGAGCTTCATGAAATTGGTTTCCATGGCTGAGCAGTTGCATCCAAGCCTTACATCACCAAGTGCAATGCAAAGCGTCGGATGCAGTGGTGTAAAGCACGCTGCTACTGGACTCTAGAGCAGTGGAGACATGTTCTCTGGAGTGACAAATCACGCTTCTCTTTCTGGCAATCGGATGGGCGTGTCTGGTTTTGGCAGTTGCCAGGAGAACGGTACTTTCCTGACTGCATTGTGCCAAGTGTAAAGTTTGATGGAGGGGGAATTATGGTGTGCGGTTGCCTTTCAGTGGTCGGGCTTGACCCCTTAGTTTCAGTGAAGAGAAAGCTTAAGGCATCAGCATACCAAGACATTTTGGACAATTTCATGCTCCCAACTTTGTGGGAACAGTTTGGGGATGGCCCCTTCCTATTCCAACGTGACTGCACACCAGTGCACAAAGCAAGGTCCATAAAGACATCGATGAGCGAGTTTGGGGTGGAGGAACTTGACTGGCCTGCAGAGAGTCCTGACCTCAACCCGATAGAACACCTTAATTAAGATGAATTAGAGCGAAGACTGCGAGCCAGGCCTTCTCGCCCAACATCAGTGCCTGACCTCACAAATGTGCTTCAGAAAGATTGATCAAACATTCCCATAGCAACCTCCTAAACCTTGTGGACGGCCTTCCCAGAAGAGATGAAGCTGTTATAGCTGCAAAGGGCGGGGCCAACTCAATATTGAACCCTACAGTCTAAGACTGGGATGCCATTAAAGTTCATGTGCGTGTAAAGGTAAGCGTCCCAATACTTTTGCAAATATACTGTAGTTAGCACAATAAATAAAGGGATAAACCCTAGATACTGAATTTTATTTTCTAATTATGTGGTAATCTAAGCTTTTTGCTTTGGTTGAACAAATTAGTTTAATTTTCAGTTCGTTAGCCAGTATTATTTCTGTGTTGGTTTGTCTGTAGTGGCAGAAGATAATTTTCAAGCATCTATGTGATTTTCTCTCTCCCTCTCTGTGTATGTATATATATATATATATATATATATATATATATATAAAGATTCATTTACTAGAAAATCTTGTTTGAAGGAAAATTTACAGAGAAGGAGATTTCACTTTATGTTTCAAAAAGCTGGAATTTAAAGGTCAAGGGAAACTATAGCTCTCTCCACGATGCTGGATAATCAATTTTTAAATAAATAACTGGTAAACTTTGAAGTCCTTATTGAATTCCAGAAACCTATGCTTTGCATGGTGAAAGCTGAATCCCCAGATGCAACATAAAGAAGAATTAAAAGATTAACTTCATTTCCAAATTTGCTTTATTTTAGACTGCACATCCCTAGTATTAATTTATATTATTCTCATTAAATTTAGCATCTAAAGCTGTGATTCTCAGTGATTTATATGGAGCTCACATTACATGTTACAATCTGATTGTACAGTTAATGTTATATTTATCAAAACTATGTAATAGGAAGAACTGTCTAAACTATCCACACATTTTGTTTCCAGTCAGGCAGGTCCTTGGACAATATAGTTGTTGGTAGATCTAAAGCCAGTGGTCTCCAAACTTTTCAAACAAAGGGTCAGTTTACTGTGCTTCAGACTTTCGGGGGCCGGACTATTGCCAGTGGGGGTAGAAAATGTTCCAGGCCTAGCATCAGTGAGGAGAAACATTGCCTTAGGGTTGGTGGTCAGTTGCATAATGCCTGTGATCATTAGGAGGAGGAATAGTGCCCCATCATTAGTATTACTGGGAGGAATAGTGCCCCATCATTGGTATTACTGGGGGGAATAGTGCCCCATCATTGGTATCAGTGGGAGGAATAGTGCCCCATCATTGGTATCAGTGGGAGGAATAGTGCCCCATCATTGGTATCAGTGGGAGGAATAATGCCCCATCATTGGTATCAGAGGGAGGAATAGTGCCCCATCATTGGTATCGGTGGGAGGAATAGTGCCCCATCATAGGTATCAGAGGGAGGAATAATGCCCCATCATTGGTATCAGAGGGAGGAATAGTGCCCCATCATTGGTTTTACTGGGAGGAATAGTGCCCCATCATTGGTATTACTGGGAGGAATAGTGCCCCATCATTGCTATCAGGAAAAAGATTAGTGCCCCATCATTATTGTCAGTGGGAGGAATAGTACTCCATCTTTGGTATTAGTGGGAGGAATAGTACTGTGTCATTATCATCAGTGGCAGGAATTATGCTTCACTATTGGTGTCAATGGGAGGAATACTGCCCCAAGGGCCTGATAAAGTCTAGCAAAGGGCTGCATCCAGCCCCTGAGTTGCTGATCTAAAGGAAAATGCTAAATCAGATTGTTATGTGTGTGGAGAGCATTACAATAGTAAGTAATGCTGAACCATTATTTTCTATGACCAATGGGAAATTGTTATTTTTATGTTCCCTCCCCAAAAACAAGTGCATCCAATAGGATGTCTTTTCTGATAATATGATGATCCCTGACCAGCAGTGATTTAATTATAATTTTGCCATCCATAGCCAATTTCTTATTTCCAGAATGGTCTTCTAGGAAAGAAGAAACCTCCATCCAAAGCTGCTTTTAGACAGCATAGACCAAATGCCATTGCTATTATATAACTCTTTGCTATCAGTAAATGAAATCCATATGCTTCCATTTACTATCATATTATTAAGGGTCATTGTTTTCCTGGGACAAGCCAACCTAGACATTTTACATTAGAATAATCGTTGTGCTGCTATTCATGCAGCATGTTAAATTATTCCAGTGCAGCTAAGTGACAGTTTAAGCATGTAGAAAAATAATTTATTATTGGTATTTACATAGCACAGACAATTTACAGAGAGCTTTACATATGTATTGTACATTCACATCAGTCCCTGCCCTGAAGGAGCTTACAATCTTAGGTCCCAAACTCACATTCATACACATACGGGGCCAGTTTTGATAGGAGACAATTAACCTCCCATGTCTACATGTCATCGGAGGAAACGAGAATACCTGGACGAAACCAAATCAAACACAAGCAGGTAGTGTTGTGGTCGGGATTCAAACCAATGACCCGAGTACTGTCAAGCAGAAGTGCTAACCACTATTTCAATTATAATTAACAGTGATGATGCTCCTCTTTATTTGTTGAGTACCTATATTTTATCTCTTACTTCTCTATTGATTGTTCTTCATTTTGAACATTGTGGATGATATTTATCTGCTATATGGTTTTTAATTAAGTATTGTTGTCTGGATTATCATATGAATACAATACATAATATATATTTTTTTCTTTATATTCGATGACTTATCTGCTGGAGGACTTCCTAGCTAGGGTTTCACCACTTTGGGTGCCTGGCACAGACAGCCCCATGGTAGTAAATCTGGGGGATTCCTTTTCTGCACTGTGCTAGGGTGATGCTTGGGAGGCAGTCAGCATATGCAGACACTTCTCCCAATAGTATCTTTAATATGCCACACTGAGATGTGGTAGGCAATGTGGATGTTTTCCGTGTGGGCAGAAGTCTCCAATATGGCTTCCTTCTGGTCTCCGAAAGTGATGTAATCCAGGGCCAGATGTAACACAACTGCACATGATGTGCAGTCCATGCGCAGTATACTGGGACATTGAGGATCGCTAGATGGGTGCCATCTTGCCCCTCTCCATGCGGTGTGGAGCACAGTCTCTGCATCTGCCTCCCAATTGAGACTAGGAGGGGGAAGAGTGGTGCACTGCCAATCATCTGTCCTATATAAGATATTAGATTATATCATATTTTTGCTTATTGATCTCACAACTGACATGCTTGGAGGATATCTTAATAATAAACTTGACATGGGGGATACGCCATACCAATTCAGATAATTTGTAACATTCTCTGTACTAGTTTTATTTTTACTTTCCTTTTCTAATTTATGTATTAAAATTGGGAAATGTGGCAGAGATAACTATTAGCCCTTGATATATTATGTGGCCAAACAATTCAAATAATCCTAATAAGCTTTGAGCTTAATTTTGTGCCCTATGGTGGTCTGACCTTATAGTACTGTACAGTGTATTAAGAGACTTCTTATGGCAGGGTATTTTCTATCTCTCATGAATTCCTCCCTTTGTTTAATATGTATAAAACTAATTCCTGAGACCAACAAATACACACTTATCATTATTATTATTTTTTTTTTGCTATGGCAGTTGGGGGTATACAGCCTTGTGTTCCTTGCACACCATTTTGGTGATCCTGGTAGTGGGGAATTACAATCTCTCTGCATGATGAGACATCTTTGTTGGATAAACAATAACAAAATGTGGCTGTGTAAGTGCAGTTCTTGTTTTAATGTCAAATATGTAATTTATAGATAAAAACAATGTAGCGCTACTCACATTATAAACAAGTGCATATACATATAAATATATGTACGAAGTGTATCAATTAGTGAAAAAAAATGCCAAATCAACTAATAACCAAGTGATTTCATGCAAAAAATTCCAAACAATTATATATGAAAACAATAATACACTCAGACCGTGATGGTGATGATAATTAGAAACTACTAATGCTGGTTAGATACAACCTTCAGAAATAATTATAATGACCTAAATAGTATAGAAAGCATATATATCTCTCTGTACATATCCATTCAGTGTAAATGATATATAAAATCACGCATGCATATAGCGAACATACTATAGTGAAACCACAATACAAAGACAACTCTATCAGTGCTCTTAAAGTCCAATATATGCCGATGGTAACATTTAGATGACACACACTCGTGCTGATATTTGTGTGCAAGTGGATATGGAGGCTGACAGAAGACAATCTGACCACCGTTTGGATAAGACTCTCACCTTAAAACTTCGACCCTTGCGGGTCAAAGCGCTTTACTGGATCCTTCTCACGGATCCTCCAAGCCTGCTGTCATTCCAAATGATCGCTCCTCGTTGCACTCAAATCCCTCAAGGAGTCAGCACTCCACTAATGGCTCCTCTCCAGGTAAGATCAAGTGTAGCACCAATCTCTCATATGGGACATAAAATAGATCCTCCCATAGTGTAGTAGATTTATTGAAAAATAGGGACAATAACAGTAAATAATGCACTCACATAGCAGCAGTTTAAGGTTCCAACCCCATGCTTTCAGATGAGGGAAAAGATGTATAGGTGTACAACGGGTGTACAGGTGTACCAAGATGGCCGCTATGCTGGCAGTACGTCACTACGTCAGGCCGACGCGTTGCGTCACAATACCATGTGACTTCCTCAGGACTATGTAATTTGTTGACTTCCTGAAATATCGATAATCCATAAATTAGATTGTAAATTGTTGTCTATATTCCAGAGTGTTATCCCATCCCTGAAGAAGATAGTGTGTTGAAACAATTTTGACATTCGTTGAATTTCCCTAGCTGAATAAACCAACATGGTTGAGGGGTGAAAATAAGCTGTGGGGGATACCACTGGATTTGTACCATATCATGCTATAATTCTTGCGATATCCATAATCCTCCGTTTGTACTTGGAGTCTGCTATGAGAATATACATGGAGGTTGTCTTTATACATCTGGTATATTTTTAATTGTATAAATAAAATATTGATATTTGATTTCAAATACTCTGTAGTAGGTTGTCATCAAAATCCCAATACGAGTGATTTTGTTCTTTGCTTATAAGCACTTCATCACTGTGTTGCCTTATTCATTGTTTGAGTTCTTGGCTGACTATCAGAACCTTGCAATTCATTTTTTGCTGATTAAAGCAGTATTACATCCAAAAGCAAACATTTATTATATTGCAGCTTACCACTTATTAGGCTGCATTCACACTTGAGCATTTTGGTAGCTTGAAGCTCCAAAAAAGCTCAAACCTAAAAATGTAATTGTGCCTGTTCATGTGATCAGATGTGAACAGGCACCATAGTGAATAATTGATTTTTTAAGTTTGAGCTTTTTTGGAACTTCAAGCTACAAAACGCTCAAGTGTGAATGCAGCCTAAGATGTGATAGCTGCATTCATTTGCTTTTTTAGGCTTTCTTTCTTCTTTTTTTTAATCTGGAGATCCAGCCAGTAAGTCTGTTTTTGTTCAACAGAACAAGCTCTCTTGCAGTTACAGGGATGAGACAAATCAATTAACACTTACAGGGGTGCTGAATTATTAATTATTTATGTAAAATCTTTATCCCGAAAAAGAAAAACTATTTGCTGTAACTGATTATAAAGTAAATGGATTTTAGCTTAAATGTGTTAGTGTATTTAAATCGGCTAGTCCATTTAACACTTCCCTTCCCTCAAACTATATCTTTATATACATATATATATTTACTATATATACATACTGTTTTTTTTTCCTTTCTCATATATTTGTTTCTCTGTATATTTTTCATATTTGTTTATTAGCCCTGCAGGATGGGAGAGTCTTTTCTCCCAAAACCCGTTGGCTTGATGTACTTGTCGTTATTCTCAATAAATGTTACTTAATCTACCATAAAAAGTGAATTCTTTTGGACATTGGGAGCTCCTTCTTTTCTATTATCCCTGACAATGCTGCTGTCTAAAAGTGCCCCTATGTTCCCTCATCCAGAGTGGTGGCACTCTAATACAGGCAGTGTATCACTGGCCAGATCACCAGGTGAAAACAGAGTGACAAATACTACAGCAAAGCCATAGATGATTCCACGGGTGGAAGGAAAGAAAATCGCTTGATTGCTCAGTATAGATGAGCGAATGGAGCTATTGCGTTCTGATGGTGGGAAGCCTTCCCTGCAATTCAAGGGCGGACTGACAACTCATGGGGCCCCCGGGCAATAGGGGATCATGGGGCCCATGTGTCCTTGCCCAAACTCAAAAAAGCCTATGAAAAAGGTACCAGGGGCATCTCATG